ATGGCTGGTCTTTGAATCACCTGGGAAAACGTAAGGAATACAGACACTTGGGTCCTATCCTCAGAAATTCTGATTTAATCCTTGTGGGTTCAATTCAGATAAAATTTTTTTTTAAAGATTTGTAGGTGATTCTAAAACATAGCCAAGATTGAGAACACCTACTCCAGAGAGCATGATAAAATAGGTATTTGTGGGGCCAGCCTCTCTGCCTAGTGGTTAAGTTTGGCATGCTCTGCTCTGGCAGCCTGGGTTCAGTTCTCAGGTGTGGACCTACACCACTCATTGGCAGCCCTGCTGTGGCAGTGACCCACATACAAAATAGAGGACCATTGGCACAGATATTAGCTCAGGAAGAATCTTCCTCAAGCAAAAAAAGAGGAAGACTGGCAGCAGATGTTAGCTCAGGGTGAATCTTCTTCAGCAAAAAGAAAGAAAGAAAGAAAGACACAGAAAAAGAAAACAGGTATTTGTATGCTTTTCAAATATGAGTAAAGACTAGTAGAACCCTTTTTACAAACAGTTTGGCTATATGCTGCTTCTTAAAAAAATATTGTTTTCACTAAAAATTGTAATTTTGTAAATTTATCCTATCAATGTAATCTAAATACAGAAAACATTTATGAGGAAAAATGTTCTTTGTGTGTAATTGATTTAATAACAATATTTGAGAGCAACATGACTCCCAGCTATAGGGCAATGGTTTACTAATCAATGGTATGTTCACATAATGAAATGCTATACATTCGTTGAAATATACATATAATAGGTTTCCCATACGTTAAGTAATGGGAAAATACAAGGTTAAGGGGAAAAAGTAATGTTTAAATTGTACTTACTGCATGGTTGAGACTAAGTTAAAATAAACATAGCAAAAACGAAGAGAAGATTCTAAATTACTAAGGGTGGGTATATTTGAGCTACAGGGAGATGAATGACTTTTTGGGGTTATTATCTAACTTTCCTGAATTTCAGAAATTTATATAACATTTATGTTAGGCTTAATTAAAAATATATACAATTTTCATTGTGGTCAAGTATACTTAACATAAAATTTCCCATTTTAATTTTCAAGTGTACAACTCAGTGGTATTAAGAACATTCACACTGTTGTGCAACCATCACCACCATCCATCTCCAGAACTTTTTCATCTTCCCCAACTGAAACTTTGTATCCCTGAAGCAATAACGCCCTATACCAACCACCCTCAGCCTCTGGTAATCACTATTTTACCTTCTGTCTCTAGGAATTTGACTATCCTAGGTATATGTTATGAATGGAATCATGCAATATTTGTCCTTTCGTGTCTGGCTTATTTCACTTAGCATAATGCCTCCGAGGTTCATCCATGTTGTAGCATGTACCCGAATTTCATTGCTTTCTAAGGCCGCACAATAGTCCATTGTAGGCATATACCACACTTTGTTTACCCCTTCATACACTGACAGACTTTTCGGTTGTTTCTACCTTTTGGCTATTGTGAAGAACACCGCTGTAATATAACGCTGGTGTACAAATACCTGTTCAAGTCCCTGCTTTCAATTTTTCGGGGTTTATACCTAGAAATGGAATTGCTGGATCATAAGGCAATTCTATGCTAAATTTTTTGAGGAACTGCCATACTGTTGTTTCACAGAGGATGAACCATTTTACAGTCCCGCCAGCAACTCACAAGGGTTCTAATTTCTCCATATCCTTACAGTATTTTATGTAACAACATCAATCACTTCATATGGAAAACTTTCTAAAATGTATCACTCACTTTCCAGCCTTCTTAAAACGAAAATGTAGAATGAAATTTAACCTTTTTTCTTTTATTGACATGAACATTGATGCCTTCTCAGAAGCTATCGCAATATATTTTTATTGGAGATCTTGCTATGTCCTAGATACTAGTCTCAGTTATTTCCACAGATTAGATCAATCCTTTCAAAATCCTGTGAAATATCATGCCCATTACACAGATAAGTAAATGAGGTACTCAGAGGTCAAGGAAAGTTTCCAAGATCACACAGCTAGTAAGTGAAGACAGCAGAATTCAGAGTCCACGCATTTACACATTTTGCTAGACTCCTAACCATCTGAGAATGTTTGTCTCTATATTAAATGTCTCCAAACTAATGCTGTACATTCTTATAAAATTCACGTATGTTGTTTAACGTTTTATTTTGTTTTTCCTTCTGGTGTTACTCCTTGTGGTTGTAAAAGAACCTACCTCTAGCCATTTTCTCCTCTCCAACCAACATGTTGATACCAATACTCCATCATGAAGAAAAAAGAGATAAAGAGAGTTAAAACTACATGAAAAGCAAAAGTGCATAGGTTTGAGAGAGAATTCGAGGGGTCAATCTAAGGGTAAAAATATAAGAATTTTTAGGTATATGACTTTCATGATATCTATTTTGGTGGTTCAATGACTTATTTGGCTTACTTCTCATTATCTTCTGGTGTTCCAGGTGCTGAGTCTGCTTTTATGAATGAATACGAGCGCTTACCCTTACTCCTACTTACACTGTGTAACATAATGTAATTTATCTAAAAAAATGTTTGCTCCAAAGAAATAAATATCCTTTTTATGTCTGATATCCTCTTTTTAAAAATGTCTACTTAATATTTTCATAATACACACAAAGAGAGAACCAAGGAAAAGTCTTTTGATATTGCAAGTGTCTGGTCGTACATCACTACTATTCAAACTATAGATCCAGTGACTGCTGATTACAGATGCCCATCAATATCCTTCTAGAATATATTATATGCCATAGATACATTTTCTGGAAAGAGTAGACTAGTGTTTCTTTCCTTGTGTAACACGTATATTGTGAAATGCTGAGCGTTTAACTTTATGAAACTCAAACCTTCTTTCCAGTGAAGTAGGAGAGGTCACTAGTTAAATACATATAACAGTGAGTCCTTCTATGTATCAGAAACCTTTTATTTAAAGTGAATTATCAATCTAACCCCCATTCCACATCACCATATGTTTTTCTGGAAATCAAGTTTTTCCATATGAACATTTCTTACAGGATTCTTTTCCACATCTGTAAGACTTTCCTAGGAAACAGGTGAATAAGTGGAGTAGAGCTGAGAGAAAGTATTCACTCAAAATACAAAATATTAAGATAAATAAAAGGTTTCTGCAGAAAAGCTCCAGCAGCCCAGATCTCCTTAAATCCAGTAATGAGTGAGGGATAAATGTAATTTTTGAACTACTAGGTTTATAGTTAATTTCCATTGAAATACTCTGAGCAATTTAAATCAGAGTGGGGAGGACAGGGAGAGAGGGGAAACAAAACCACATTCCTAGAGATCAGAACTTAGTGATGGGAACAGCCGTTATCTTCTTATTCCCAATTTTGTGGCTGGTTAGCAGTTAAGGCTGAAAGAAAATAAACAAAGTCAGAGTGCTACCTTATTTCTTTTGAGAATGTGCTTCTCAAATCTAAAGGTTTGACGATACAAAACCTCCACTGGATTCCAAGCTTTGATCATTTTAACACTGACTTCTCACTAAAACAATAATACTGTTAATATCAATAAATATACTCAAATTCTGATAATGATTCAATTAAGATTTTTAGTAATTTTTTTGTAACTCAAGTCCTACCATGCTGGACCTTACAAATATACTATAATGTTTATATTTACGTTTTTGTCACATAAAGAAGGGACTATTCTCTCTCTATTCATCTACACTCATCTTCTACTAAACACACAATCCTGTGCAAGTTAATATCCCCGGAAGCAGACCTTTGTTCTCCTGCTTTTACTTTTCCAAATTCCTACTACTTGCCTTTACCATTCATTTTAGTATTGCTTTATATTGTCTTAAATTCTTCTGTAATTTTTTCACATATACATTATGTTTTATTGTTCTTAACTATCACCCATATTAACTAAGACAGACTGATTGTATGGTAACATTTAAATGTTTTTTCCAATCAATTAATCATACATTTGCTCAAAGAAGAAATTGCTGGGGGTGGAGCATTCTGCAAGGCTAATATAATCAGGGCAAACCAGAGCAATAAGTCAAGTGCATTGTGGATGAGGCCCAGAGGCCTGGGTCTTCAGCTATTAAACATCCCCCCAAAACAAACACAGCTATTTAGAAAGAACTAAACTTACTAAAGCTGATACACAGTCAACATCCGAAAACTGAAAACTCTTAACTAAAAGACAGTTCATTCTATTTTATGGTGGTCATGAGGTAGCACGAAAACTTTTAAGGAAGCCTCTGAACACGAAATGAATGATGTTTCGGGAGACAAAAATAAGAGGGTTTAACAAGCAAATAGAATGGAAATGAGAACAAAGTCGAAAATGGCAAGACAGCTACCATATTTTTTTTTTAATTCAGTAAATGTATCCTATCAAAAGTTTGTACTAGGCTTCAAGTTACTGGTTTCCAGCTGTTACAGTTGAAAGGAAAAAGGAAGGCAGGGAGGGAGGAAAGAAAGTAGAAAAGAGGGGAAAAAACCCTGAAGTATTCCTCTAGAGCTTAAGAAAAATCTGGCCGGTTTATAACATTTCACTGAAACCAACAGCAAAATCATAATGGGGTGAAGCCTCAATCAGGCCCCTAAAACATCTGTAGTTTTGTTTAAAATGACTAAGGTGAAATACATCAGCTTATGGGAAATGGGGAGGGCATCCAGCAGTTGGCCAGTGTTCTAGGTGATGGATGTTGATGAGCAATTCCCTTAAACATCTGATTTACTGCCAACAGAGAAAAACACTGGAAGCACATCCAAAAACTCAACTACAATTAAGATTACAAGAGTGGCCACTCTGTCCACCTTCTCCTCCCTTACCAGAGAGGTGACCCCACTCCTGCCAACCATCTCCACACAAAGGCCACAGAAGAACACCTCCTTCCCCGAGCCCCTGTTCCTTTGCCTCAAAAATCACTATAAAACCTGCCTTACATTGTTTTCCAGCCGCTTCATTCCTCCCTCCCTTCTTTCCTTCCTCCTTCCCTCCCTTTCATCTTTCCCTCCTTTCCTTGTTCTTTTCCTCCTTCCCTCCCTCCCTGCTCTTTCTTCCTAAAATCACTGCTGTTTAAAAACACTCCCAGATCACCCCTACCCCACTAGAAATCCGTCGCAGGAGAGAAGGAGTCAGGCACAGGCGGCGGGCCCGTGCCTTCGCAAGCACCATCTGGCACCTGCGAGTCCTCGCCACTTTGCGTCCGCCCGGAGGTGAGAGGGGCGGGAGGCAAAGGACGCGCAGAGCCAGTGTGACCCATTTCTTCGGAAACTTTCAGCTGATCGCAGCCCTCCCCCTACCCGAGACTCTTTAACCATCCATCAAGCCAGAAAAGTACAGCGACCTCTGCCTAGCGTTTGGAGTTAGAAAACAGGCGAAGCAACAAAAGCGAGGACAAGAGGTTCGCCCCTCCGCCTCCCCACCGCCCAACGGCAGTGGACGCAGCGCGGCGGCGCGGCCGGAAGGGGCCGCTGTGCGCTCAGAGCAGCCGCCCGGCCGCAGCCGCCGCCGCCCGCACCTCCCACGGCCCCGCTGGCCCAGCCCCGCCAAGTTCCAACAGCCCCCAGTCGAGCGAGCGCCGGGAACGAGCAGCGCCCGGGCAGAGGCAGACGGCGCAGACCAGCCAGGCTGCGGCGCGCGGCGGCGAGGCTCCTGGGAAACTCTCACGGCCCGGGGACTTTGGAAAGGAGAGAGCGAGCAGCCCTCGCGCGCGCAAGTCGGCAAGTGAGCGCTCCGCTCGGCACCTGTTCCTCTCGCCCCACCGCCTTCCCAATCCTCGGACCCGCGCCTCCCTGGGCGCCTGCCCGCTCCCGCAATGAATCCAGCGCTGGGCAACCAGACCGATGTGGTGGGCCTCTTCCTGGCCAACAGCAGCGAGGCCCTGGAGCGCGCCGTGCGCTGCTGCACCCAGGCGTCCGTGGTGACCGACGACGGCTTCGCCGAGGGCGGCCCGGACGAGCGCAGCTTGTACATCATGCGCGTGGTGCAGATCGCCGTCATGTGCGTGCTCTCGCTCACTGTGGTCTTTGGCATCTTCTTCCTCGGCTGCAACCTCCTCATCAAGTCCGAGGGCATGATCAACTTCCTGGTGAAGGACCGGAGACCGTCTAAAGAGGTGGAGGCGGTGGTCGTAGGGCCCTACTGACCGGCCCTCCGGCCCCCGCGGCAGCCGCCCCACGCCTCCCCACTTCGCCTGCCCGGCCGCGCCCCCTCACCATCCGAGACTGGGCGAAGCAAACCTGTCGGAGTCAAATTCTTTCTCTCGACTTCTGCCTTTCGGGATGAAGCGACCCGTTTTTGGCTCGCCTTCTGAAACTCCCCATGCCTGGGTGTAGGAGAAGAGCGCCCAGACTCTAGACTCAGCAGCAAGTGGTAAAAAGAGGGCGATTAGGGCGCAGAACTTTGGAAGCTGCCGATAGCGTGGGATGTGGGGAGACCGACGGGGCGAAGGCCCTTCTCCACCCGCAGGTGGGCCAAGTCTGGGGGCAGATGGAGAGGGCGGGCAGGGGAGAGACACAGCGGCACCGATTGCCTGGTGGCCGGAAAAAGTGACCTGCGTATACGCCACGCAACAGATCTAATGGAGACACACAAATCCGTGTCCAAATTCGCGCCCAATCCCTCCCGCTCCTCCCAGCCCTGGCGGGAGAGGCGATAAATACCTTTGATTGATAGTACCGTGCCGTTTTAAGGAATTTTGTGTTTGCTTGAATACAAATATTTGATAAGTCCTTTTCTGCCCTAGTGACCTGTTTGCCTGCCTGGGGGCTAGAGTTTTGTCATCGTGGGAGAAGGGGTGGGGGGAGGGGGAGCCTGCGACTGTGAACGGGGTGAGTTGTTTCTTTCATTGCATTCCCAGCTGGGTCTTTTGGGGAAGCTGGTGCCCCAGCTGGCCCCAGGCAAAGACCCGGAACAGAACTCGTAGCTCATGACTGCACGGTTTACGCCACAAAAGTGCTCTTGACATTCGTGACACCGTTTTGACTTTTTTTTTCTTGTTTAACATTTCCTTAATAAATGCAACATTTAAGTGTTTTGTTCCTGGCCTCCTGGTGGTCATTCTGCGCTCCGGGCAGAACGAAACCGGCGCGGTGAGCAGTCAGGTTATGGGCCAGGGGAATTCGCTTTGGAGGGCTACGATGCAACTCGTGGATCCCGTGGAAGGACGAGGGTGGGGGCGAGACGGAGAGGCCTAGGGACAAGTGAGACATGGGCAAGCCTCAGGCACAGGAGCCCTCCTGGAGGCAGCAGCCTTTGTTTTCTCTTATAGTTAATATTTTATATTTCATTTAGGCTCAGCTCTCTGAGCCAAGCGAGACGACAGGAGGCCCCCGCGGGAAGATTACACTTCCATGCAGGGCTCCGGCGGGAACACAGGGTTACACCGCTAATGAAAGGAAGAGATGAGCTTGGCCAGCCTTCAGGGAGGGCGTCTGTCCCTGGACCAACGTCAGCAAGACGGCGTCGGGATGCTGCTCAGAAAAAAAAAAAATTAAATGCCAGGAAAAGTAGCTGCTAAAGTACACAGTGACGCTAATTCTCCCTGGGGTAAACCATTGTTACTAAAACATGAGATGCATTTTGTTCTCCGTGTTACCTTGTTCTGGTGAAAGAGCGAGATTGAGAGAGACCTGGCCTGCTCTTTAATTTAGAGTAATTAACCACAGGCCAGGCAAAAGTATTCGGAGGAATTAGCCGAGGTCCTGAATGTCTGAGATGAGAATTAGAGCCCAAACTGGAAGGTTTGGCCCAAGTGGAGCTACACACGGTGCTTGGCACATTTAGGGCTCAGAAATGGAACAGTGTTGGAAAGAAGAGCCTAGAAAACCATGACTGTGAAAATAACCCAGAGAATGCATTAGCCTCAAGCTTAAACTTGAAGAGAGGTTTTGAGCAGTTTATTTTTATGCCTGGAGTAGGATCCTAAATATTTCGAAGAATACAAAGTATCCACTACTATCCTCTAGCAATTAAGTTTGCAAAGACTTCACAATAACAGATAGAAAACTGACTAAAATTAAATAACAATAAAGTGTCCCATTTACTCAGGAAGACGCACAACTGGTGAAAACAATGTCAACAACTCAAAGGGATGGGATCAAAAGGTTTGAGGGTCCTTTAACACCCTGCCCACTATTAAGTGTCTGTTTCACTTCTAAAGTAAATCTTGCCAGAAATTACAACCTAGAATTTTTTTTGAATGCTAATAAGTATCAGCGTTGAAAAAAAGGATTTTGAAGTTTTGCCTGTTGTCCCTAGCTTTTCAGCAGGTAGGATTTGCTTGTTTGCATTTTTTTTTTTTTTTTTGTATCTGAGGAGGGGAGCCATGTAGTCAAGGGTGAGTCATGGAAGGCAGTTTACTTTTGCTAATGGGTAGCCCGAGAAATGGCGACTTGTTATTTCCCAGATAGTTTCTGTGGCACCAAGTTGGTCTGCTGTCTCCCTGTTTCGAAGGGAGAACAAAGCAGAACAGGCAGTCCACTGTGGAACAAACCAGACATTTAAAATTAAATTCAGTTTTTTGTGGCTGAAGCATCTGCTGAGGGTCCTCTCCTCCCACAGATTTATTAGCCCCCCGGTAAATTCAGTGCTCTGGTGGAAACCGACTTGGGATCAAAAACCAATCAGCTAGAGTTTGTAGGAATCTTGCTTCGCACTCTGCTGCGTGCAAGGTGCATGCTTATAGTGAGTTTCAGACACAGAAAGGTTTCAAACCTACAGGTCTGTTTTTACTTGTTTGTGTACAGCAGAGGTTTCTATTCAAAGCCAAAGTCCTGAAAGTTGAGGGAGGGGCCTGCCCAAGCCCCCACTACTCTCTCCTCTGCTGCTATTACCTATCTCCCCCATCACTGCCGTCTCCTCCATTCTTATTCCTCTGAATACTTTATCACACCTCCTTCCTCTCCCTGCACCCCAAAAGCAAAATTTACAGTTTTTCCTTATCTCAACTATCCAGATTTATTCTCTTACCCCCAGAAACTGTGATTGTCAGGCAAACCAGAACCTGCAAAATTTAGTCCTTTGGTAGAAAAGATTTGTGAACAGAACTCTGTAATCCATGATCTATGCATGATAGGGAAATGCACACGATCTGAAAATATCATAGCCCTGGGGACCATTTCCTGCCAACAACTCTTCTCTACAGCCCTTAGATCCATTCGTTACTTAGAGAGATGCCAAGTGATTCTGGTTTTTATAGATGAGGTGATGTGTGCTAGAAGCTTTTTACACTCCCTATTCCCGATGGCCATGCGGCAACCACTTTCTTGGGGCCCACACCACTCCCTGTCTCACTCTGCCTTTGGCTGTCTTTTTCCCTGATTCTAACAAATGCATTAAAATAAACTTTTTAATCCTGCCCAGAGTTTATGGAGCATCGATCCTTTCCCACAGATGTGCCATAAGGAAAGTGAGCTTTGAAAGTCACTCTGTGTTTCACTTAGGAAAGCAATGTCAGCCTTAAGGGACTGGGAATTGGGAGGGATAGATGCCGATAGGCGGATTGTATCATCCACACTTAGTCCACCATTTGGTCAGTGATTAGTGGGATGCCCTGAGAGAGAAGGATGGCTTCCTGTAAAAGCTTGCTGGATCTGACGTGGTCTATGGGGAGATATCTGATACTTCCTGAAACCTTTCTGGAAATGCGGCAGAAGCAGGGAGAGGTTTTCATGAGACACAGAAAGTGGATTAGCAGGGTTGTAACCCCTCTCAGCTTTTGCAGACAGCCACTGCTGCCTCTGAGCCTAATTGTGTGGAATCGACATAAGCAGTTCAGCCAATTGTTGATAAATGTTATTTTTCTTAAGATTTCTGATATGAATCTTCCCACTCTCTCTGAAAATGTATTAGGAACTTGAGTGCTGGACACCTTGAGGGCTGCTGGAGGGAGTCAAAGCAGAAAAGTCACGCTACGGTGCTAAGTTGAAGATCAGACTTGCTCTTGGCGAATGGTCCCTGTGCCTGATTTCTGATTTCCAAACCACCCTGACCTCTCATTGGATCCTGAGTCAGTTCTGTTACTGTGCCTTCCTACAGTAATTCTGAATGAGGAAGAGAAGGCACACTGGACTATGATGTAAAAAAGTTTGGTTCTGGTCTCTAAGTAGCTGTGTGGCCTCATCCTTAAAAATGAGGAAGATGGATTCTTAAAGGACATTCCAATTTGCTGATTCTGTTGAATTAATTTAACATTTCCTTGTCTTTTAAGAAGGTTCGTAGATCTCTTCATTAGGTATCTTAGAAATATATTTTATCATCCCAATCTTGGCCCTTTAGGTGGAAATGTTTACCCCCAAAAGTCAAGTGCTCCTTGACTCTGGATATGTTATTTAAAATAATCAAAGCAGAATTTCAGACACCTGGCTAAGCCTGGGTAGGCAGCTGTTTCTAAGCTAACAGGTCACACATCATCTAACCATTCCTTTAAATATCCCAGATCTCTATGTTCTGGATGAAGCAATGAAAGCAAAGCTCCGTGAACTGGGGAGCAAGTAATTGGTAAATGATTCGTCTGGGTACATACACATCCAGCCTAATATGTACTGTTGTTTATAGAAACTTCTTGGGTGTTTGAAGACTAACCAACAGCCAATTTTTCTCCCTCAAAGCATTTTTCCCTTTGAGCTTCTACAACAGCACACAGCAGCTGTTCCATGTGTAGTTTGGAGCCTTCCTTAGCCCTGGCTTTTTATGCTTGTCACTTTGGGGGTTGAAATGCCAGGAAAGGATTCCAGGGTTCAGTTTGTTCTGTAAGAGTCAGACCCAGTTTGAAAGCCTGTTGAAGCAGCAAGTCCACAGCAATCCCCCAAACAGGAATCAATAAATCTTTTATCCACTTACCAAATCCCGTTGAGGTATGTGCACAATAGCTCAAATGGGATATGTTTTAAAGTGAGCTCTAGCAGTAGTAACTGTTTTCTAATATCTGAATTTAAAAGCTCAATGGTTAATTGCTTCCATGGCCAGTCTCACTCTATCCTCCTTACCGGATGTTTTTGTATTGTTTTAAATGCTTGAAATGTTTGAAAGTCCAGGATTAATTTCATAGCATCAGCTTAGATTTTAAAATTCTTGGAAAGACTAAATTATCTAACATTATCAGCAAGTCATATAGCATTTAGGGTGATCATAATAGAATAGTCTGAATTTGTTACTTATATTTGAGAAATTCAAGATATTTCAGAGGGAGCTTCTAGCAGGACTGTTGTAAGGGTCACTAGATGCATTTTTAAATACTCCTCAGTAGGTTGCAAACAGTGGATTGCCTCTAACCTAAATAACAGTATATACTAAATGAGAATAAACAAAACATATTTCCATTTATTTTACTATTTATGCGTATTTTGAAGGGATGATGGGTAAATAGTTTCCTTTCCTAAATATATGTAAGAGCTTGCTTGCTGAAATATTTTTGAGTGGGTAAATGCAGGCACAGAGTGATCAATACATAAAAGGTCAAGCCATCTGTGATAATGCTGGAACAAAACTCTACCCTGCCCCCTTTTGAAAACTGGTTTCCATTAGATAGTAGTATTTTCTGAACTCATAATTCAAACAGATAACGTTTGTTAAGCACTTATGTATACGTGACACATTACAACTTATTATTGAAAAAATGAAATGACTCCTTACATTTGAGCCATGAAACACAGGCACAGATAAACAGGCATAAGGGAAAGCTGATGATCTACCCACGTGAGTCAGATAATAAAGAAATTGTTTCTATTTACTATTTCTGGAATTCATAGTGTTGTAAATATACATACCTAATTATGCTATAGCTTACGTGTTGGCACGGTTTATTATAGGCAGAAAATTTTACAGTTTTTCTCATCAATTTTTTTTTCACATTTGCCTTCCACCCCCACCAATTTCTCTCTCATTGTGTACTTCTTGCCTCACCCACATCTAAAGATATACTGCCCTGAAAGAGTCATTGATTTTTATCAGACCGAGACTCCAGATGTCTGATTGCTTTGAGAAAAGAATCCCCCTGGGATCCAGAGTGTCTCTTTTGCTTTATTTATTTTCCTAT